ATGTCATTATTATATTTTAAGTCAATTTCCATGTCTAAGTAGGTTTTATTATTTTATATACTATTTGGGTTTAATACCTATTCTGACAGAACTAACCAAAGAGTATATAAAAAATGGAACTAACAGCGATAGTAGCGCCCAAGTAGCGCCTCTCTCTGCCTCTCTCATTGGGCCTGATAAGCAGACAAGCACTGTAAGTGGTCCTTGTTTCAAACAAAATGAAATCGACATTTTAAATAAAATATTAAAACGATATTGATTATTTATTGTTTTAACATCTTATAATGTACAAGTACAAGTGCTTGTTTTTGTAGGAAGCATAGTATCTATTTTTAAAAGAATTTTGTTGTTAAATAATGTATTTTGAAAGCACTAAGATATTTAGTATCAGAAAACTGTAAAAAACGGAATATTTTCCTATAACATCTGTGGTACAGAAACTTCGTTTTGAGTTTTAAGTTTTCCTATCAATAACCGCTGTGCTGTGTTTTGCTATTTGATTTTTACAATAATTCCTATCTATTTCGTAACCAATATAATGCTCTACATATTATAATTTATAGGTAACGATTTGCGACAAAACCATTTCATTGTATTTGAGTTGTAAGTTTCTAGTTTCTTTTTGTAACTTGATTCCTTACATTACAGGTGGTACTCCGTAAAACATTTATGTCAATCGATTTGTTAAACAACGCTTAATACTTTAACAATTATATATTGATCAAACTAAATCAAAGTAGTTTTATATCCTTTCTCTTGTTTTCCAAATCTGCCACATTGATTTTTTATTTCAGGTTATTATCGTTATCGACCTGTCAAGGAGACATTTTTCGTCAAACTGTTTCCACAATTTTGCAAAATAGGAGACGAAAATCCTTTTAAATTTGCAAATTTTATATCGAATCTGCCACCAATTGTAAGTAAATCTTTTTTTGCTACTTATTTTATTTGTTTATTAACATTGCATTGATTAAATCATTGTTATGTTAAACATTTATGCTTTTTATCAGCATTGCATCCTGCATGTGAATTTAAAGCAGGGATCTTAAGACTAGGGCATAGATTAACTCAGTTGGTGGGTGGCATTGCATATACTTTTAAACTTTTAGGGTGATTTATTGTAATAAGAGAGCAATGTCCTGAGTCATCTGCTTATAGTATTAGGATAGATAATATTCTGCTAAGAACAGTGTCAACAAATAGTGGAGATGTGTTTGCAAATGTATGCTGGTGTACTACCACTGTTCTTTTTTTGGAACAAGTAATAACTACATAATACATACAACATAATTAGGACATGTTTAATATGAACAAAAATGATTGGTTAACTGTATAGGCTAGAGCTCCAAAATTATATTAATATCTTATCAATAACTTCCATGTACATATATTTTATATAGAAATGTAATTATATCCCAACTCTATCACTACAGATTAAAAAAAAGTAGCCTACATGCCCCCTTTTCATACCTTTCCATTCATGTCTAGTCAAAATCGGTCCAGCCATTTGGAAGATTACAAGGGAACACATGCTGACTTGTGGACAGGCATACTAGAAGAACTATGTAAATACATTATTGTGTATAAAATATTTTCTTTTTCAATATCACATATAAACAATAATATTTATATGCATAGAAAATCAGTTTTTCAGTTTGAATATAGTGGTGAATTAGAAGTTAATGGACCTGTATCTGGGTTTCAGTCAACTATTGCTCAAGCCTTACCCCAACTCCCAGTAACAATTTTTATATGATACTAAGGCCAGCATAATGTATTTGGTGGTCGTAGGGTGGTGGAGCAATGCCTCGGTGCAGCAAGCGCTCGCGCAGCGGCGCGCCCGCCGCGCCCGGCGACCTTCTGCCAGGAGCCACTGCACTCGATGAACACCACCACCACAAGCGCTCGCGCAACACCAGGTAAATAATATCAAAGTAAGGTTATGTTATCAAAGTAGATTCAACAGCATTATGACAGGTTTTCTATTTTCCTGCTTAAGCCATATGATTTAATTTTTCTTTACCTTACTCGGTTATGGAGAAGTTTTTAAATAGAAAACAAAGATCAATTATGCCATTTATACACTAACCTAGTGTTCATTGTCATTGTTCTGCAGCGGAATTGTGATAATGTGTATGTTTGTTTTGCTCATTTCAGTTCGAGAAGACATTCCAAAGCAGAAGAATCCAGCTTTAGTGTAAAGAAATGTTTAGCCTGGTTCAAGGAATACACAACAGCAACGGAGCCAGATGTTTTAGGTAAATGTCCCCTTATACTTTGCTTACAGTGCTTCACCCACACATGTATAACAATAAATTAAATTAAAAAGTTAAAAAAAATATTAAGCAGCATACAGCCTGTGTTGCATTTTATTAAACAACGAAAGTGCAAATGTAACAGGGGAATAAAGAAGTAAACATAGATTAGTATAGTAAGAATGGCGTGTGTCGGCGGCAGGGCCCGAGGGCATGGAGAAGTTCTGCGAGGACCTCGGTGTGGAGCCGGAGAACGTCGTCATGCTGGTCATCGCATACAAAATGGCCGCCAAACAAATGGGCTACTTCACTCAAGAGGAATGGTTAAAGGGTAAATGCTTTCTCATATATATATTTTTACATTGAATAAGCTAGCGCTTGACCACGCTCCCACCTGATGTTAAGTGATGATATGGTCTAAAAGTATCCTTCACTTAAGACTTCTTGTCTAAAACTATGTGATACTCTTTGACTTTGATTTTATACTTTTGCTAAACAGATTTATAGTACAGAAATCTGTCCCTCGCTGTGCTCTCTTTGTTCTTCTAATTAAGGGAAAATTGAACAAAAATTTAAAGTAAAAAGTTTTTTGCGCGGAAGCTAAGATCGCAGTGACACCCGTTCATTGAGTACCGCATTACCCACCGCAGGTCGGAGGTGAATAAAGTATCAACCTGTATTAGCCAAGGCACATGTAGGTAACTGCGAACCCCGCCGCTGTGCTGCCCCCACTCATCACAGTGCATGCATGTCTGAAGCAGATTTCAGCTCGCAGCTCAGCTCAAGTTGTACCTACTAAATTATTAGTTGAACAAGAGGCTCAACGGAGCAAGGCTTTGGCCGCTAAACTTTTGAATCGGTTGAGAGCGGATTGACAGAGGTGTAGCAGTGCGGTTGTTTGTGTTGCAGGTCTGACGGAGCTCCAGTGCGACACGGTACACAAACTGCAAAACAAATTAGATTACTTACGGAACACCCTCAATGACCCATACATATTTAAGGCTATTTATAGATATTCGTATGACTTCGCCAGGGTAAGTCGATCATCAAATCTCTTCTCCATTTCATTCTTCAATTAGGTGAATATTTTAAATCCGCCAAAGAGACAAAAAATCTTCACGGCTTTCGACAAATGACATATTATTTCATAAGGATTCGTTTCGGAGAGTAATTTTGTGTATCATAACGAGTCGCTGCAAATGTGGAACAAATTAGAGTGTCGCGAGTACAGTGCGGGCGTGCGTCTGCGCAGGACAAGGAGCAGCGCTCGCTGGAGACTGGCACCGCGCGCGCGCTGCTGGGCGTGCTGCTGCCGCGCTGGCCGCTGCGCGCGCCGCTCGCCGCCTTCCTGCAGCGCGAGCCCCGCTACCGCGTGCTCAACCGCGACCAGTGGTGCAACATCCTCGAGTTCAGCCGCACCGTCGGCCTCGACCTCGCCGCCTACGACCCCGACGGCGCCTGTCAGTACCCGCGCCCCCCGCCCCACACTACGC